TTGAAAAATTCCCACTTGCTCTAATCAGTTTGGCTCAGCGGATAGAGCGTCGGCCTGCGGACTCAAGGGTCCCAGGTTTTATTCTGGTCAAGGGCATGTACCTTGGTTGCGGGCACATCCCCAGTGGGGAGTGTGCAGGAGACAGCTGATCGATGTTTCTCTCTCATTGATGTTTCTAACTCTCTATCCCTCTCCCTTCTTCTCTGTAAAAAATCAATAAAATATATTTTTAAAAAAATTCCACTTATTGTTAGATGGGTACTGGGAATAGTAATCTGGCTGGTGGAGGGTCTTGCCTTCAATTTGTAAAGCACGTAACATTTGTGAAGTGCAATAATGTGAAGCTCAATAAAGCGAGGTAGCCTGTATCATTTCAATTACAAGTATTTATTATACCTAAATCTGGGGCCTACTTATAGCTCGTCATCAGAGATACCAGAGGTGATTTCTTTCAGACTCCAGCTTGAAATGGGTAGTAACTCCCAGTGCTCATATAGTAATGAGTAGGTGTCATTTAAGGAAGGGAATTATTAATGCCTAACAACCTTGATCTTTTTCCTCCTTGAGTGATGCATTAGATGTTTACAGGATATAAAGATGAAAAATACTACTTAGATGGAGTCAAGCAAGGCCAGTTCTTAAATGCTTTCCTTCAGTAAACAAGTTCATGGAGTGAGAGAGATACAGACCATCTACTTACTTTATGTCTGCTTGCCAGTCATACACATTCCACCACAAAAATCCCCCAAACGTGTCCTCCAGGGAAAAATCTTTGACCCACCCTCTACTCTTACACTGTTAGATCAATTAGCTAAAGAAGTGGATGGTGGGCCCTAATAGGTTTGGCTCAGTGGATAGAGCATCAGCCTGGGGACTGAAGGGTCCAGGTTCGATTCCGGTCAAGGGCATGTACCCTGGTTGTGGGCGCATCCCCAGTAGGAGATGTGCAGGAGGCAGCTGATCGATGTTTCTCTCTCATAGATGTTTCTGACTCTCTGTCCTTATCCCATCCTCTCTGTAAAAAATCAATAAGATATATTTTTTAAAAAGAAGTGGGTGGTGGAAGATAATATATGAGAATTCTTTTTCCCCCACATAAACAACAGTTTTATTCTAAATAATCATATCATTAAAACAATTTTTTCTAAAGTAGTTTTAAAAAAATAACCCCAGTGTCATTAATTCTGGAAATTCTCTTTTTCACATTAGTACTACCTTAGTTGAACTGTAACATTCCAAGAACTCCAGAGCTTCTATAGATTTAATTTTTAAAGTTAAAAAAATAATTCGCCCACCCGGCATGGCTCAGTGGTTGAGCATGGAAATATGAACCAGGAGGTCACGATTGGGCTCCAGGTAGGGGCACCTGCCCAGGTTGTGGGCTTGATCCCCAGTGGGGGGTGTGCAGGAGGCAGCCGGTCAATGATTCTCTCTCATGATTGATATTTCTCTCTCTCCCTCTCCCTTTCTCTCTGAAATCAATTTAAAAAAAAAAGAACTAAAAAAAGTTTAAAATTTTCTATTTTATTTTTCATGATAAATGATGTTACTGAAAACTCTACTTGGTAGACTTTTAGTTACTTTGATGATCTTTGCAATCTTACAAATAGGCAACAAATATGTAACATGTAAAGTAATAATAAGCCAGTCTCCAAAGCTTGCATTGGAGGCCAGGGAGTTGCATTTCATTAAACCCAAGCTGAACAGAGTTGAATTCAGTTTAATACAGAGAAAGCCAGGCATGCCCCGGATGTGTCGTCCTTTGTATTTCCTGACGCATCAGCTGAATTGTGAAAAACTCAAAGAGCTTCTTATTACTCTTGCTTTTAGACAATTTCTGTAGAATAACGCTGAGCTTTTCTAGAGTTCGAAGATAAAGCGTAGGGGTTCGAAGCAGCACGGAGCAAGAACGAAAAAAAGTGTCACTCCAGGCTTCCAGGAGAGGCTGCAAGGATTTAGATTCCACTGTCATCTGAAGCAGACTATCGATGACATTGGCTACGAGTCCTTTACTGGATGTTCTTAGATGGTTTAATATAACTGCCCCGGGCGGGGCAGCTGCAGGGCTCAGCGGAGGCCCCTTGCAGTTGCTCTCCATCTGGGCTCTTGCCTCACCCTCGGGCTCAGGGGTCTCCAGGCCTGAGGTCCACAATAGGCCTCTCCCTCTCCCCCTCTTCCCCCGGCAGAATTCAAATGATGGGGGGCACGGGGAATCCCCCACACCAGGTTTCTGATTCCCGATCCACCAAGAGGGCCCTGGAAGCCCAGCCAGGTCAAGAGGGTCAGTCCAGCCTGGTTCTGGCCCTCCTGGCCCATTGCCTCCACCGCCTGGGGTGGGCAAGAAGGCACAGTCAGAAGCCAGGTGTCCCCGCCATGGGAAGGACGGTGTCCCAAGCTCGGGGCCTGGTAAAAAAGGAGTATTATTATTATTTTAAATATATTTTTATTGATTTCAGAGAGGAAGGGAAAGGGAGAGAGAGAGACATCAATGATGAGAGAGAATCATTGATCGGCTGCCTCCTGCGCGCCCCACACTGGGGACTGAGCCCGCAACCCAGGCATGTGCCAGGGAATCAAACTATGACCTCCTGGTTCACAGGTCAACACTCAATCACTGAGCCATGCCAGTGGGGCAAAAAGACAAACAAACAAAAACATAAAACAAACCACCAAGTAATTTTAAGTGTCAGTTGTCTAGGGTCCAAGTCATAGTTATTCCAGAAAAAGTAACTTTCCTTATTCTTTCTTCAGGTGTTGACTATAAATTACACTCAGATAATGTTGCAGGCTTGACTTACATTTCAGAAAAGCCTAAGAATCACTTGTAGGACCTACTTAGGACCATTTTTGAAAACTCTTGGGTTTCTCAAGACTTACTTTAAGGCAATGTACAATAATTCCATAAGAACACTTGTCAACAGCTGGCTGGTATTAGCAGCTGCAGAAATAAACTCCCACGTCATGTATGCCATCACCCCTTGGTTATGATTCTGACATACAACGTCCAGGTAGCATTTCCCTAGTGACCCTGTGCATTGCTTGTTGCAATTTAATGCAAAGAACATGACATATTTGTTTCTTTTGAAAAATTAACTGCAATGTTTTTTCTGTTGTATTGTGTAGTTTTAATTATTATGTGTTTTAAAATAAGGTAATATCTCACCTGGCTGGCATGGCTCAGTGGTTAAGCGTTGACCCATGAACCAGGAGGTCATGATTCGATTCCCGTTCAGGGCCCATACCCGGGTTGTGGGCTTGATTTCCCAGTGTGGGGCGTGCAGGAGGAGGCCGATTAATGATTCTCTTTTATCATTAATGTTTCTATCCCTCTCTCCCTCTCCCTTCTTCTCTGAACTCAATAAAAAGTATTTTAGCCCTAACCAGTTTGGTTCAGTGGATAGAGAGTCGGTCTGCGGACCCAAGGGTCCCAGGTTCGATTCTGGTCAAGGGCGTGTACCTTGGTTGCAGGCACATCCCCAGTAGGAGGTGTGCAGGAGGCAGCTGATCGATGTTTCTTTCTCATCCATGTTTCTAACTCTCTTTCCCTCTCCCTTTCTCTCTAAAATATTTAAAAAATTTTTTAAAGATAATATCTCTTCCCCCACCCTATTTTCAACAGATTTGAATTTTATGAACTTTTATTCATTATCTTGGGAAAATATCGTGAATGGATAAAATAGATTTTTTCTATAAAAGAAAAATTCCATTTAAACTTCAAGTAGAAGTCAATCTTTTTTACACGCATCATTTTCACAAGTATTCTAAAACCATCTTTCATACTTGTGAGAAACTCACACAGAACCTTTCTGGTGCTGAATGAAGACTACATTGGATTCACTGCCTGCAAATGACTCCCTAAAGGCCAGAGGTTAATGATAACCCAGCAAAGCAAAGCATGCTGGGTGTTTCATGTGGGAAACACATGAAATCCACTGAACAAAATATACTGAGAGGTCACCAAAAGCCCCTCTGGTCTCCAGGGCGTGCATCGTTAAGACCTGCGTTCAATGCCATCTATAAAGTGAGGAATTGAGGAGAGCTCCCCACTGCTGCTTTATATTTACAGATGACAGAGGCAGTATTTTTTTTTAACAAGATAAGGACAAAATTTAAATCTAATTCCTGTTATTCCACATCACAGCTGTTTGTTGTTGTTAATCCTTACCCGAGGATATTTTTCCATTGATGTTTAGAGAGTAGAAGGGAAGGGGAGAGACACAGAGAGAGAAACATCAATGTGAGAGAGACACATGGATTGGTTGCCCCTCTCGGATAGAGCCTGCAGCGGAGGTACATGCCCTTGATCAGAATGGAACCTGGGACCCTTCAGTCCGCAGGCCAATGCTCTATCCATTGAGCAACACCAGCTAGGGCACAGCTGTTTTCTTAAAAAACAATTTTTAAAAATTCTCAGCTAAGGATATGTTTTTATTGATTTTTAGAGAGGAAGGGAGAGAGAGAAACATCAATGTGAGATGAAACAGCCAGATGTGAGCTGAAACATCCATTGGTCGCCTCCCCAATGCACCCCCAACGGGCCCCTCCTGGGGATCAAACCGCAATCTAGGCATGTGCCCTGACCAGGAATGGAACCCGCAACCTTTTGGTGCGCCGCCAACGCTCCAGTCAACTGGGCCACCCGGCCGGGCGCAGCTGTTTTCATTTTCCATCTAGCCGTTTGTTCTGGGCCCATTCGCTTTCTCGTCGAATTCACCTCCCGTGACGGGGATGTGTTTATTCCCACATTACGTAATCTTTCAGAGGGACCGACGAGGTCGTGCCCTGTCCCGCCTGGACACAGCGGGAGGACAAGAGGAGCAGCCGATCGCAAGAAGAAAAACCTTGATTGAGCTGGGAGACTGGCAGTCCGGGAGTGGGCGAGGCGGGGCGAAGCGCGGCTCCGAGGCCTGGGTTGTCAGGCCCCGCCCCTATTCCCGCGGCCTAGCCCCGCCCCGGCCCCGCCCCCGGCCCCGCCCCCGCCCTCGGCCCCGCCCCCGCCTGTCGCCATGTTGTTCCCTAGGCGCTGGGCGGGAGCAGCCGGAGTCGGGCTCGGGGAGCGCCTTGGCGGCCGCGTCCGACTGTCTCGCTTTTCTCGGTGCCCTGGCCGGGCCGGGTCGGAGCTCCCGGGCGTCCTGGGTGTGGCGGCGAGGTGAGCGGAGCGCGGACTCCCTCGGGGCTGGCGGGGGGCGGGGGCCGGGGCCGGGGCCCGGGCGTGCGGTCGGGGTGTGAGCCCGCGGGCCGCCGGCGCCGTCTGGGTCTCCAGCCGCTGGGGTGGGCGCTCCGCTCCGGGCCGGCGCGGGTCGCTGGCGCCCGGGGTGGAGGCCCGGCTGGTCGCCCCTGCCTCCTCCTGACTGACACAGCAGGAAAGACGGGTTCCCATTCCCACACCCCCGGGAGGGAGGCCCGCACACAACCCGGGGGACACACGCTTACCCCAGCCTTCCCCCCAACCCCTGGGAGCACCCCCTCCCCCCAGCCCACCCAACCCGAACGGGCCGCCGACTGGCTCGCGTGGAGAATGCCCAGCGCTGTCACGATCTGATGTTAGCGATTGTGACGCGCTCCCCAGGCGAGACATTTGGAACGTGGAGCCAGGGCCGGGGCTGGAGGCGGTTTGGGGTGTTATCTGATTCAGGCTGGCTACGGTTGCAGAATGGGGTTCCTGACTGGCTTCCAGCTTCGTGTGTAAAGAGGCAAGATGAGAATGGGGAGTGCCGCCCGCATCGCGGTGGAGGTACTGGCTTTGTCGTTTCTAAGTGATGACACATCCCGTGACCTAGGTTCTTTTGAGGAATGACTTTTTTTTGTTGTTGTTGTTGGTGCTAGTTTCCAATTTGTCACGTGGCCAGGCTTTTTATAGGCTTTCAGAACCCTAATGAAACCCATAGAATGTGATGGCTTTTGGAAAATTAAACAAAAATTTTTTAACTTGTCTGTCCTTCAGTCTGCCACGGTGGTAATGGAAAATTTCTAAATTGACTGTAATCTCAAAAAACCGGTTCTTGGAGCTAAACTTGTAGACGTGAAGGAAACCCATAACTCCTCAGTGTGGGACTTTTAAGAAGACTGTTCTTAGGTTCTCGGTTAGAAACTTTTGTTGAAGTTATCACTACTTGTCTGGAACTCTCAGTATCTTATTTATATTTACAAATCGGAGACAGTGGTGTGGCAGTCTGGTGCTAGCAGTATTTCTGTGTAGAAATTTTAGTAAATTCCTCCTGCTTAATGTTTCTGGTTTGGTGATTTCTTATTTTCCAGAGTTTTGTGGTGTGGGGATATTTTTGGTTTAGCATTTGTAAGGTTAAAGTGGACCAATGAAACTAAGTAGACTAGAACATTTTTTGGCTTTCATTCCAAGCCGGGTTCTTGGAGATTAGGAAAATACTTGAATGCTGCTCCCTCTTTTCCAACTTCTTTTTTCTTTTCCCGTTTCAGCCACTTCTTCCATCCAGAATACACTACTCTGGAGGCCTGAAGATAAGTTCCTTTGGTTTTAGAAGTTAAATTTTAACCTCCCCTCATTTCTTGGGCAGCCGCTCTGGCATTGGCTGTTCTCTGTGTGTAAATCCTGTACATACATCATTTAATTGAATTTTCACAGCCTTTCTGTGTTACTAGCTCCATTTCACAGACGAGGAATTTGCTGGGACATTGAAGGGTTAGGTCTGTTTCCCGCAATCACACAGGGCAGAGGCAGGATTCAAAGCAGGCCTGTGTGAGTTTAGAGTAATAGTTCTCAACTGGGGCCCTTGATGTCTCTAGGCATTTTGGGTTCACTCTTGAGAAGGAGTGCTGCTGGCATCTTGGGGGGGGGGGGTGGTAGAGGCCAGGAATGCTGCTCAACTCTCCAGGGCACAGGGCAGGCCCCGCATTGGAGTTGTCTGGCCCAAAATGTCACTATGCAGGGGCTGAGAAAGCCTGCTTTACAGCAGTCTGTAACCTCAGAGCTCAGGTTTCAGCACGTCAGTAGTTTTTCAAATGTAACGGCCTTTTCCTATTTAGGAGAACTCCTCATTTTAAGAAAGAGCAGTGGGGAAATTTGAGAACTTGAAGAGATTTCCCTTGACTCAGAGGCATATACATTCATTGGAAAGATGAAGGAGTGAGCAAATAATTTCGGATAACAGAATCCAATTTTTAAGGCAAAAGTGGCAAAAGGACCTCGAGAGCCATTCAGATCCATGGAAGTAGACTTAGGGAGTTTGGTTGCTGTATTATTCCAGTTGTCAATAAGCATTTTCTGAGTCACCTGTCATGCGCTGATAGGTGCTGCTGATATGAAGGGGAGCATGCAGTCTAATCACAATCATAAGATCAAGTTCTGACTTGTCCTGGAACCAAATTTATTGTGTGGGCTGCTCAAGGTCGGGGGTCAGGTGTTATTAAAAACACACACACACACACCCTCCCCCCTCCCCCCCAGACTGGCTGGGCATGGCTTAGTGATTGAGCTGACCTATGAACCAGGAGGTCATCTTTTGATTCCTAGTCAGGACACATGCCAAGGTTGTGGGCTCGATCCCCAGTGTGGGGCCTGCAGGAGGCAGCCGATCCATGATTCTCTCTCATCATTGATGTGTCTCTCTCCTTCTCCCTCTCCCTTTCTCTCTGAAATCAATAAAAATATATTTTTAAAAAACCACACTCTAGCTGGGTGGCTCAGTTGGTTGGAGAGTCATCCTGTACAACCAAAAAGGTTGCTGGTTCGATTCCTGGTCAGGGCACATAGCTAGGCAGCAGTTTTGATCCCCAGTTGGGGCATGTATCAGAGGCAACCAATTGATGTTTCTCTCTCTCTAAAAAAAAAAAAAATCAGTGAAAACATATCCTCTAGTGAGGATTTAGAAAAACCTCAATAGGTGCACACCCACACACAGGTACCTGTATCATAGTATTTACTGTGTGAAGACTTAGGTGAAATGAGGAAACGTAGATACGCTTTTGGTAGCTTTGTAGGTTGACCACATGTGAATATTTACAAGAAACAAATTGAGTAGCCATTATAGTTGAGCATAAAATTTCTTAAATTTCCCCTCAGTAGACAATAGTCATGCATGCATTTTATCATGGAAATCAAGAAATACATGATGAAAATATTTTTTTAAATGGCCTTTGCATCATTTTCTTTTGCATCTTCCAGTCCATTTTCATCATGCCTAAGACTAGGCCCTTCAATATAGGTACCGCTTCATTCTGGCGGCAGGTGTAACTTTTAGGTGAACTCTGGGAGTGATTGATTGAGGAATCCCAAAGGGCTGGCTCTTGTTTGAGGAATCTGTGAAGGGGTTATTCATGCAGCCAACATGGCATCTTTTGTGCGTAGCTTTGCTTTTTGACTCATGCTCAGGGACAACGTGTTCTTTGTTAATGAATAGATTTCTCTGCCTCTCATCAGGAGTTGTCTGCTGTGGGGGATGCTAAATTATACACCTAAAGTGGATTGCTAGCTCATGGATCTAACAAAGGAATGTGTGTTCGTTTCTTTCTGGAGGCGTTTTATTCTGGGAAGGGGAATTGGTCCAGGAAGAGCATCCATTGGCCTCTGAGGAGTCTTGCTTGATCTGTAGTTGGCTTGGCTGCTCTGGCCAAATTAGGTCACCGCGTTTCTTTTCTTTTCTTTTTTAAAATAAGTTTTTATTGATTTTGAGAGAGGAAGGGAGAGGGAGAGAGAGAAACATCCACGTGAGAGAGAAACATCAGCGGGCTGCCTTCTGCACACCCCCTATTGGGATTCGAGCCTGAAACCTGGGCTCAGAAACCCAGGCATGTGCTGACCGGGAATTGAACCAGCGACCTCCTGGTGCAGGGGACCACGCTCAATCAACTGAGCCACACTGGCGGGCCACCTTTCTTTTTATGAGATTACATGACTACGTAGAGACATCAGATTATTGGTTTCCAAGTAGTTCTTGGAAATAAGCCAAGTGGAATTGTGTGTGTGTGTGTGTGTTTGAAATGTGTCTCACTGGAAAGCTAGCTAGGTAATAAATTTGTTAGTCAAAACCAAGGACAAGAAAATAGGGCTTGTGATTAAGTAGGTCATCAACAGAGACTATGAAGGATTTTGACGGGTGAGGGGTGAACTCACAAAATGCCTCATGGAGTTTGGAAAGCTGTGATGCAAACGAAAGGCCAGAATGCCTGAGGGAGGAGCCACGGGAGACTCAGGTGTGTAGGAGGAGGAAGCCTGGCTGCCTTGCGCTGGGAGGCGAGGCTGGAGGTAGTCCCAGGCGGTGTTTAGCAGGGAGCCTGGGGTTGCCTGGGCCTCCTCCATAACCTGGAGGAGAAATCTATTTTCCAAAGTGCATCTTGATATTGTACATGTTGTCAAGTTGAGCTCTGTGTATTTCCACATTCTGGATTATTCCATCTCTTTTTGTTTCTTTCTGACCGTGATGGGTCCAGGGTTTGAATGCTACTGTGTATCATGAACGTGGAGAGGATGATTAGTTGTGAATGAATGTAAGTAAGGTAACAGATCAGCATGGGATGGAGAGAGACAGCTGTATGTTTTGGAAGAAATGTGTAAGTGAAGCAAACAGTGGAGGCTTCGCTCACCCCAGCTCATTTCATCCTGAGGAGTCTGGACACAGACTTCACTTTTGTCCCAGGCCTGCTGCCTTACAAATGTACGTTATTGTTTGACAAGGGATGGAGGAACAGTAGGACACAACTTGATTCATTCATCCCATGGCCATAGTCATTATCCAGGTGTGAAGGGTAGCAGAGCAGTGTAAACTAGCAAATGGAACTGTTCAGTGTAAATTGAACTAACACTTTAAGTTCCAAATTCATATGCATTGTATTCGGCTTTTGGGTCCAGAGGCGAAGTTAGTTTTTAGGTTAGTTTTCATAAGCATGGTTGTGTTATCAGTGTGAGAGAAGCCTGAAAAAAACCTTAGAGATTTGTTTCTAGAACTTGCTATGTAAAGCTCTAATAGAAGAATGCTTAAATGATATAACAGGCTCAAAAAAGTTAGAACCTACTGGGGTATGTGTGCTATAAGGTGACTGAGCTAGTCTTTGCAGCTTCAGGCTTGTGTAATCAGAGCAGTGATTAGATGATTATGTGTAAAAATACATACATGGTTTAGTTGCAAGTCAGAACAGAACTGCTTGAGATCCATACGTTAGTAAATGCAGAGCATT